TAAAGTAAGGTTTAAGTACTAACTTGTACAAACCCTTCTTGATAGAAGCAGGTTTCTCTACAGTGGAGTGTTACTTGTGATGGAAATATTCCAAGAGAGAGAAAAAAGTGATATTGTAAGTATGTTAGTGGTGGTTCTTATTTGAATGCATCATCTTAAACACACAAAGTTCATATTTCTTTTGTGTTCAGTAATTTACTGCTTTAATCATAATTATGTGTTTTATACACAGATTTAATTGCATTGGAATGTATTTAAAATGTTCCTTCACATACCACTTGGAATACTGGAAAAGGATGAACAAATGTTGTCCTTTTAGGATGAGATTCACCAAATATGTGTGAAGAGAGGATACACTGCATATTGAGCAGTATTAAATGGTTTTATTTGGTAGTGTGAGGATTAGCATGACTATATTATATCACTTCAGGTATATTTTATACTTGTTTTGAAAACTAATATTTGTTAAGATAAATTTTGTACATTCCTTCTCCAGTAAGGGATTAATCCCATAGACTGACCACATGCATATATGGTTAATGATTAAGATAAGAGGTATGACTCATAAGTGATGCTATTTTACAATAATTATGATATAATAATGAGTGAATGACTTTTTCATTTTTTGTTACAGGATATATATATATATATATATAATATCCACTACAAAGGGACATCTTCAGAAGAGAAAGGAGCTCTCTTTCAGCTGCAAAACGTGAGTCAAGTCTGATGTAATTTTATTTATAAGCATATTTTAAATGAAAAACCAACAATAGAATCCTCATTCAAGCTAAATAACTCCCAAAACAATCAACATGCAAGAAAAAGTAAATTATATCATAAATTTAATTACAGTTGTAGTTTGTGGTTTCATGGATTGGAGGTGAGAAGATTCAGGAAAAGAAAATGGTGATGGTCATTTGATGTGAATCTGGTGATCTGATTTACATTGAATAATTATACAAAATACAGCCTTCAGTCGTTTGATTTAAAAGCTCAACTTATGGCTCTCTTGCCACAAAGCTGGCACAAAAATGAAGACACAACAGAGGCACAGACATTCATGGAGGAAAGGATGAAAATATGTCAGATGTTAGAGTTTATGGCCACATGTCCAAAAGATTCCCTTGGATCTCTACAAAGAAATTTAGCATAAAAATTATATATTGATGTGGGAAAGGTGTGCAAGTCCTAAGTGATGTTTTAGTCCAAGGTGAAGGGATTGGACCAATATTTTGTATAACTTTTAAAGTCAAAACCATCTTTAAAGAAAGACATTCACCATCTTGTGGGACAGCTACAACTGGAAAAATTATTGCAATACCATAGATGTTTTGTAAACATACTTGAATGATTGGAAGAAATTAAATGAACAAAAACTGTATTCATGGATAACAGACAAAATAAGGGTAATTTTCCAGAGTGCAGTGTACAATCCTATATGATTGGACAACTGTGTGTATTATATACGTTTTATTATATTGTATTGTTTATACAGTTTTGAGCATTTATATTTTTAAAAACAATGTATAGGTTTGAGACTAATTAACTTTTTATGCAAATTCAAATTTAAATAATTTCTAAAAAAACAAGAGTTTCCAAGTGGTCACTGGCCAGTAGCTGCAGATGTCACAATAATAAAAACTCCCTCTGAATATCAGTCCACTTGTTAACTATAGCTATGGACAGATTGTTCCAATCCTGGCTAATCTGACGCACGATCTGATATCTTATTCTGTGTGTAGCAGTTTGTGGTCTTCTGCTTGGATGAAACGTTGAAAGTTTTGAAAATATTATTTATTGTATGTTTGTGTGTTTAAGATGTTAGCCTTGAATCTTTAAACTGTAATATTTAATTTACTCACATAATCTTATAAACAGGGAGATATATTAATTTTACTGGAAGACAAGAGATGATCTTTTACTTTGGATAGTGTTGTTCTGTAAGTGGTGACTTTACTGGAAGATAGGATCAAATGTTGCTTTGGACAACATTCTTCTGTACTTGGTGATTTTACTGAAAGATAGGAGAGGATGTTACTTTGGACAACGTTCTTCTGTAAGTGTTAACTTTATTGAAGATAAACAAGGCGAAGCTTTAGTGTGGTGTTGAAAATATAAATATTAAGAAGACCTTTTAAACCGTTGATGAAAAATATAACATCCTCCTGGTTTGGCTAATATTGAAAGTAAATATAAACAAAAAATCACTGAACAATCCTACAGCCAACTCGCTTCTATGTATTTTAAAACTACTAACATAAACATAACGTTTTATTCCGGAGATGTTGATTTATAATTATTACTCTCGGTATTTGAATACAGTTTAAGCAACAAATCACATTTTATCTTGTAAAGCTGTCTTGATTTTCAAGGCTTTTAAAATAAATTTAAGTTTTCAGAGTCCAATAAGAAGTCTTAATGCAAATATCTATATATTTTTTTATGGAAACAATCCAAATTACTGAAACAAAGGGATTTCAACTATATTGCCTAGCAGATATTGTCACTGCAGCGTCATCTGAAGCCAAAAAACTTAAAGTAAAGAAAAAAGAACGTTGTCCAAAGTGACAGGTTCGCTCCTATCTTTCAGTAAAGTCACCACTTACAGAAGAACGTTGTCCAAGGTGACAGGTTCGCTCCTATCTTTCAGTAAAGTCACCACTTACAGAAGAACGTTGTCCAAGGTGACAGGTTCGCTCCTATCTTTCAGTAAAGTCACCACTTACAGAAGAACGTTGTCCAAGGTGACAGGTTCGCTCCTATCTTTCAGTAAAGTCACCACTTACAGAAGAACGTTGTCCAAGGTGACAGGTTCGCTCCTATGTTTCAGGCGTCTAGTAAGAAGACATTTGAACTCGTCATGATACTATCTAAACCGGAGTCTTCTTTACTGTGCTCCAGCGAGATAGATGGCCACTCTGCTTCTCTTTGAACTTGAGGTCTAATTCTCGATGCTATGTAGTTTCAAGTTTGTTTATATACTAACAGATCGATTGTTACCAATATCTAATTACAAAACACAAAGCTCTGACAAGAAAACAGAGAGAAAGTCAATCTTGATTGTACTTATACAGTGTCATATACTTTACCATTATTCTAAAAGCACCTACTTACACAAAAATATTAGTTACTACAAAATGTATATTTACGTTATATTAGTAAAGCACGTTTAAACTATCTACTTCTACAGCACATTAAGCCTATTTATAAATCTGTTTGTTTTTTAATTACAAATAATTTTTACGAGGTATGTTTAGAACTTGATTAATTGATTATTAGGTAGTTATTTCTTGAGAGACCTGCTGCTCACTGACTTATGACAGACAAAATATACATATTATTTGCTGTTGTTACACGCTTTTCATTTCGAAATTTGTAATGGGAGAAAAACAACCACAATAAAGCGTGATTTTTTTTAAAATCACTTTTGTAGGGAATGATGATCTATTTTCTATCGTAGGGCCATCTATTGGGTATATAGCAAATTACGACACCAAATGGTATTATACAATGCAGTACTTACCTTCCTTATTTTCTTTTATCTGCCGTAGGATTCTGTTTCGTACTATCTTGATAGCTCTCTCAGCACTGCTGTCTTTATGTTTTCGGGCAAATGTTAAAGCCATGTTAAATGCTTCTACTGCACCTTGTAGGTTTCCTCCCAGAACTACGATATGGAAAGATAAGTTTTAAAAAGTTTATTAAGCACAAAGCTACACAATGGCTTACCTTGGGTATCGAAATCTGATTTTTAGCATTATAAACCCTTAGACTTAGCCGAGCCATTGCGGGCATTTTAAAAGTACTGTTTCTTGTAACGCTTAATTTTACACAAACAATTTCCTGACTTAATATTGAAAGTCGACATTCGAATAAATAGCATCACGATTGCATGTGGATTTTATATTGTACTACGTCCTGGACTTCTTAAATACCTCAATATTACACAGTTATGATAATTTTATGTTTACGTGAAATAGAATAACGAATTTGGTATATTCAGGCCCGGTTTAAGGCCCTTTAACCAATCATAATTTAAAATTGCGAGACTGTAGGGAGGGTAACCAATCAGCAGCACCTGCAGATTTGACGTTCCAAATCTGAAAGTGCGGGACGTGTTTAACGGCATATTGCGACTCGAACCTTTGACTTTTCAATACGTAGCCCAACGTACTAGCCACTAGGCTGATACGCTACTAGTTAGATATATATAAAATATGTAAATCTTGACCCAAAAGTTTGTTTTTTGTTAATTCCAAAGCTAAACCATAGTCTATATGTGCTGTGCCCACGACGGGTATCGAAAGTCAGATTTTAGCGTCGTAATCCTTCAGACTTCTCGCTACGCCACAAGGGTGGGGATGGGCATGACACACAAAAGGAGTTCAATATTTCCCACATAAAATAGACTTGGTAGGAAACTGCGGGTGTTGACATTTCAAGTATCAGGATGGGGTCTACATGTGCTCCTACAGGTACGCTAAATTTGTACGTCGTAACTATCACATACAATTTTATTTTGGAATTTATTATTATTGAATAGAAGTGTTTATAAATACCCTTTACGAAATAAAATCACAACCTACAACTAAGTCACACCTGTCTGATAATAAATAAAAATTTTCAAAGTTAACAGAAATTTTGTAAGTAGTAAATAAATATATACTATCGACTACTGTTTTATTTCTGTCATTATTACTATCAGGCATGTTCATACTTCTCGATGTAATTCAAAACTATCCAAAGTTTGTTTCTATCTGCTTGTGAACAAAAACAATGGGGTACCAAACTCGGGCACATACCTTTTCTCCTATCTATCCTGCATATACAGTTTTGTTTAAAGATACAATATACACACACATCACTTTCGGAGGAGTAAATATTTTAACATCAGGGCGTTAATTATGGTGAGAGTTAGAAGTTAAAGGGTGTTAACTAAAGCACGTGTTCGAAGTCACGGGGCGTTAAATAAAGCGTGCATTAGAAGTCACAGGGCGTTAAATAAAGCACGCGTTAGAAGTCACAGGCATTAAATAAGGCGCGAGTTAGAAGTCACAGGTGTTACATAATACATGGTTTAGAAGTCACAGGAGTTAAATAAGGCATAGCTTAAAAGTCACAGGAGTTAATAAGGCGTGGGTTAGAAGTCACAGGCGTTAAATAAGGCGTGGTTTCGGTTCTGTCAGGTCAACTGAACGTTACCTTCGGCTTGGCCTATCAACACGCTCGAGTTTAACTGCCAGACGCCATCGTTCACTTCGGATGCACACTCTAGTGACCTTTGGCCGTGTTCTTTCGCCATTTTCTCATTGTTCAATTCCAGATAACATCTTCCCATCTCGTGGTGCAGCCACGCCTTCTCAACGGCGATAGAACACAAGGGAATCTTCTTCTCCCATCTACACAGACAGACATCACCAGAATAAAACTAATATTCCAAATACTTTGATAGAACTACATTATTTTGATTGTCATCTTTATTTAACTTGGTTAAGTTGACAAGATTAAAAAGTGAATTATTTCAAAGGTTCGCCAAGGTGAACTGTTTTCATCAAGTCTGCCAGTGAAACTTTAGAAAATGAACAACTTTGAACTGCTCACAAAGGGACATCATGGTATCAGTATACGCGATCTGATCCAAAATTATATGATTTCAATAATCACCTTGTTGGTGATGAACCTAAACAAAAACCACACAGAAACTGGCCTAGCTTCCAAGTGCAAGGAAAACAATACCATCTCGAAGGGTTCTGTTAGAAGAATTGATATTAACTCTACAAGTATACAGTGACTTTATACGTCATTGTTTATAACCCCTTAACAATGAAAAACTACCATTTTGAAATCTTTTGTTTGTTTGCTTTTAATTAAGCACAAAGCTACACAATGGGCCATCTGTGCTCTTGTCACCACGGGTATCGAAACCCAGTTTCTAGCGTTGTAATCCGCAGACATACCGCTGTGACACTAGGGGGCTTGATATCTTTAAAGCTTGTTTGAGTTTGAAGTTAAGCACAAAGCTGCACAATGGGCTATCTGTGCTCTGCCCACCACGGGTATCGAAGCCCGGTTTCTAGCGTTGTAAGTCCGCAGACATACCGCTGTGCTACTGGGGGGCAATCTTTAATACAAAGAATCTGTGTCTATCCTGGCTCCATCATCTGTACACAATTAAAAATAAACTCGATCAGATAGTTATGTGTAACAAAGAATCCCGAAAGAGACCATGATAAGCTGTTATAGTATTACCTGAGTCACATTCAGTAAAATTATGAAGGGGGGAGGGGGCTTGAGAGGTTGTTCTGTAGTGTTCTACTTTAAATGCTGAAATAGATAGGTGGCGTACTTCATCAGGAAGTGAGTTTACCCAAGTTATTTCACTTAATAAAATGGTCCTGGAATAAGAAATCTCCATGATAGTCATAAAGGAAAGAAGATAGTGGTCGAGACTTTTATTTTTACTCACATTTCGATGGCTTTATCAAACTGACGGCTTAGAGCGTAGGTTCTTCCAATGTTATCCAAAGCCCGAGATCGGCATTCTTCTAAATCACTGAAAACAATACACTAGGCCTATCAAATAAACAATATGTTCTTGTAGCGAAGATAGACATTATACTAAATCATTATTAACAATACACTAGGTCTATCAAACAAACTGATATGTTATTGTAGCGAAGATAGACATTATACTAAATAACTGAAAACAATACACTAGGCCTATCAAACAAACAATATATTATTGTGGCGAAGATAGACATTATACTAAATCATTAAAAAAATACATTTGGCCTATCAAACAAACATAATGTTCTTATAGCGAAGATATACATTATACTAAATCACTGAAAACAATACACTAGGCCTATCAAACAAACAATATGATCTTGTAGCGAAGATAGATATTATACTAAATCATTATAAACAATAAACTAGGTCTATCAAACAAAGAATGTTATTGTAGCGAAGATAGACATTATATTAAATCATTATAAACAATACACTAGGCCTATCAAACAAATAATATATTATTGTGGCAAAGATAGGCGTTCTACTAAATCATTAAAACAATACACTAGGCCTATCAAACAAACAATATGTTATTGTAGCGAAGATACATTATACTAAATAACTGAAAACAATACACTAGGTATATCAAACAAACAATATATTACTGTAGCAAAGATAGACATTATACTAAATCATTATAAACAATACACTAGGCCTATCAAACAAACAATATGTTCTTGTAGCGAAGATAGACATTTTACTAAATCACTGAAAACAATACACTAGGCCTATCAAACAAACAATATGTTCTTGTAGCGAAGATAGACATTATACTAAATCATTAAAACAATACACTAGGTCTATAAAACAAACAATATATTATTGTAGCAATGATAGGCGTTCTACTAAATCATTAAAAAACAATACATTAGGTCTATCAAACAAACAATATATTATTGTAGCAAAAACAGGCATTCAACCACTGAAAAGAATACACTAGGCCTGTCAACTAAACAATATATTATTGTAGCAAAGACAGGCATTCTGCTAAATCACTGAAAACAATGCAAGTGGCCCATGAAACAAAAGGTACTGCATAATGAATTTTGTTAATTTTGGTTTTCATCTTATAGAATTGATTTGTTTTATATTTTTATTTAAACTTCTTTTAAAAAAACGAAGTGTCTGTTAGAGAGAGAGAGAGAAAAAAAAAGAGGTACTGGTGGCTCAGTGGTATAGTTAGTTTACAAGATTATAACGTTAAAAATGGTTCACTATGTAGATGCTTGAGTTGTGTTAGTAAAAACCAGAGAGGTTACTAAGCAGGTGCTCAGGGTCGACGATTGTTTAACTGTTAACTGGTTTCTTAAGCAAAAATAAGGTTTGCGAACATTCTCACACTGGAACCCCTAGTATTTGCTGTCTTATTCAGCCGCCTGTTTCCTATCCTTAACGCCGGTCATAGAGATACTTAATTTGTGTTAGTAACGACCAGGATGGTTGCTATGGAGATGTCTTAGTTGTGTAAATAAAAAACAGGATGGTTGCTATGGAGATGTCTTGGATGTGTAAATAAAAAACAGGATGGTTGCTATGGAGAAACTTGAGTTGTGCTAATAAAGACCAATACTGTTTGTATGCTGATGTTCTAGTTCTGCTAATAAAGATATACAGATATTTGAGTAGCATTACTAAGTTCTAGGCTGGTTGCTATGCAGGAGCTTGAGTTGTGTTAGTACAAATTAGGTTGGTTGCTATGCAGATGTCTCAGTTGTGTTAGTAAAGACAAAGTATATTTACTGTTGCTCTCCCAGGTCTAAGTCTTTATAATGAAACTCCAAGGCTGATCTGTGGTCACCTAGTTCCATGTGGGCACAACCTATGTCGCTGTAGATTGTGGCCAGGATCTCGGTTTTATTGGGAAGAAGTTCCTCTGGACATCGGTCAACGAAGTTCTTTAGAGTATTGCATTTAGTAAGACTCTTTTTGTAGTGCCCACGAGATAAAGCTTCAAAGAAACAAAAAAAAAAAACAAACAAAGAAAACAAACGTTAAATGTCATGACCTCACATGAATATATACATTTTGTAGTTGGTCTAAGACCGCTTATCAACAAAAATCGAGCAGGTTAAACATTTCAACAGTAATTATAGTTCTTAGCCAATCAGTGGGTAGTTGATAGTAGACAAAAACGGAAACTATTCCTGAAATGAATTGGCGTTAGCGTTAAAAAAAACCATTTATGCTCATTTTAACTACACAAATACAATTTATGTATTTAATTAAAAATACTTTGTAAGTTAAAAAAACATTCGACACCCTTATGACACTATAAACAGTCAGTGATTATTCTTAAGTAATAAAATATTTTAATTTAACCAAATAAATAGTTCTAGCTGCTTGACAATATAATAACCTAAACAGAATTGTTAGTGTTGGACGTATCAAGTCTGATTTTAAAATAGCCTTACCAAAGACCTTAGGGTTAAACATTTTTAAGACCGATTCTACAATAACATTTAAACAAAAGTCAGTGTGGTTGATCGTGTGAAGCCTGATTTTAAGATAACACATAGACATAGAAACCTATTGGCGTCTATAGCCCGACTAAAATTTGAACTTTTCATGCATATTTATAATTGGGTTTATTAAATAACTATCACCCAAAAACATGTGTCCCACAACACACGCACACACTTGCAATTGCAGTCCTACTAATATTCTATTGCTTCCTACGCCTATTAATTAAATAACCTGAGAGTAATCGTCTCATTACGTATAACTCTGAAGGTGGTAAGCATGTTCGGCGCAGAGTTTCAACCTTGCGATCTGCATATTACGACTCGAGCACCCTAACCACCAGACCATGAAATAACCTAAACAAAAAGAGTCAATGGGGTAGAAAGCTCTATTTTATAATAACTAAACAAACAAATAAAAACACCAGGGTTGACAGTGCCAAGCCTGATATTAAAATAACGAAGTTCCTCCTAAATGTAGATAGGTTTAACATTTCAAATCTTACGAAGATGTTTCTTTTCAAATTCACCACATTAAATTCATATCTTACAACGGTAAAAATTAAAATATCACAAACAAAATTTTGTGGCTATGACTACTTAGAATTTATTTTCAAAAAGGAAAGTCGAAATTTCAACTAAAATGCTGAAATTCCCACAATCCCTAGTAAAATTTAAGCGTGGTAAAGTTATTAGCATGCGTCGTCTGTTAGCTGAAAATCGTCTGCTACTGCCATGTTTTTGTTATATATGTGGATTTAGCCCTTTCAATTTTTTATTTTTTTTTCAATGTTAAGTCTAAAATTATACGACTCCTGGACTGGTAGGCATAATTTGTTGTTGTGAGAAGCGATATAGGCTTACTACCAGCAGTTTTGATCACTGGTATTTTTAGCTAATGTTTTTTTGTCGGCCTTGCCCTATTTAGTTCGCTAGTTCATTACGGCCTGAGTCATCCAATAGGCCTAAGTGAATGATTTTTAGCACTTACTTGGCATTATCGACTTATCCTTCAAAAAACGAAAAATCAGCTAATCATATGCTTACGCGATACCATCTGTACAAAACCATATAGATAATATATTATATTTATACATATTATATTAGTTGAAGTAAAAAGTAGCATATAAAAATGGGGCATTTGGGCAACACCCTTTGGACCCTCTTACTAGTAATACTACTACTTCGTTAATCACACTAGCTGTTAGCTATTACATATAAGCCTAAACAAAGTCATTACAGTGGAAAGTCTCAAGCCTAACATTTAATCTGAGGTTCAACACAGTTCTGTATTTTGATACAATATTTTAGCAGTGCAACATCACATACCATCATCTATTTCTTCCAACATTTTCATCACTTGATTAGTCATTTTAACCCTTTCTTCTTGATCTTTTTGTTGTTGCCGTTTTTCTTCTGTTCTTTCAAATCTTTCATTTTGGCTGATGTGACCTACTCTTCTGCTAGCAGCAGAACATGCACGTGCACGTGCTCGAGTAAGACGACGGTGATGCCCCCTAGCATACAATGGTTTCTGCTGATGCCAAAATTCTTGCCTCAACTCAAGAAATTCTAAAGCACTTCGAGCATGTTCCCGAATCTCCTTTATTTCAGGTTGAGCAGTGCGAGCCAGAGCTAGATAAAATTATACAATATGTGCATATCGTAACATATATATACTGTATATATATATATATATATATATATGTAAATATTCAATTTCATCGTACATTTCAGTATTTCCAGTAGACATGCTTCAGGCCAGTATTCCTTTCTAAACATTAGTAATTAACATTCCAACTTTTACTAGAGGTTAAGAGTCAGTCTTATTCGAATTACTAATAAGAACTGAATGAAAGTAATAAATAGTATTTAATAAAATTTAAATCACAATATATCGGCTATATCCAGTACCAATGAGTTCTTGCACCCAGTACCAGGGCCCTTTAGTTCGGCAGGATTACGACTGACATAGACGCTATTTACATTGGCAAAAATTGCTTGACAAAATATATTGTGGTGTAACTGATGAACTATAATTTTCTATTAGTTATTATTTATGTCACAATACATCAGAATCATGGTAACGATTACTTGACACTATGTTAGTTAGTTATTTTAACGCCATATTATTTTCTTAAATTAACCTTCTCACTATTCAGAAGAACTAGCAAACTAATAGGATAGTTTTATTGAAAGTTAAATGTTAATACCACTTCCAACTTACTCAAATATAAAAATAACAAGCCCTAACTTTTACCACAATTTTGAAGTAAAATGTCGATAACCTTACCTTTATTTTTCAGAAATTTCTCCAGAAATATCTTATCCACAGACAATTCGCCAAGTATTTTTTTGGTATTTTTCTGTTTTCCAGTTGATGGAATGGAATCTAAACTGCTGCGTTCGCTTGTTAGTTCGCCAGCTGATTTTCCCGGCTGAAACTCCAGACAATTAACTAATAATTTATAACAAAGAACACACTACGGGTCATATTTCACAACTGATTAGTTCAATTAGTTCCAGATCTTAATGAAGAACTAAATCTGGTGGCTGGAGCTGAAACTTATAATCATCTTATGTGTGACACCCTAAACAGCATACAGTATGAATCATATTCGAATTTAGCACCAGAAAAGTGACAATATAACTCATTATACATACAACTATCATAAACATGACAATATAACTTATTATACTTACAACTCAAATTATAGTTAACATGGAAAGAAGACAAAAACCTTTAATCTGAAATCTTACTATTCTGAGTTCACTTCGTATCTTATTTATTCCAGGCTCAACACACGCCCATTCATTTCACGTCTTACTTATCCCTTTTCCAAACTCAACACGTGATTAGCTTATCCCATTTCAAGCATAGATAAAAGTGGGAGAAGTGAAGCAAATACTCCAAGGCCTACCTGTAATCATGAAAGTTTTATATAAAGAGGGAGAAAAGTAATAATAAAGAAACGAATAAATTAGCTTTTGCAATCGAGTTTTTATCTCTACGTTCGATATTTATCGGGAAAGCTTTGAAGCCCTCTATTAGGCCAGTATTCAAGATAACGGATACTTAATAGAACACATATTTTAATAAATGCATGTTTACAAACCTAGTAATAATACTTCATTTTTCATTACATCATGGGTTTCTAAAGAAATATTGGTTTTGTAGCCAACTTGTTCGAAAGAAACAGCCAGTGTCTTGGATTCATTGGTGACCGTTGAGAACAGTTCCTTATCATGGGTTCCTAGAGAAATATTTGTTTTGTAGTCAACTCTTTGGAAAGAAACAGCCAATGTCTTGGATCCTTCGATGACTGTTGAGACAGTTCCTCATCATGGGTTCTTAGAGAAATATTTGTTTTGTAGTCAAGTCTTTGGAAAGAAACAGCCAGTGTCTTGGATTCTCCGATGATCGTTGAGAACAGTTCCTTATCATGGGTTTATAGAGAAATATTGGTTTTGCAGCCAGCTCTTTGGAAAGAAACAACTAGCATCTTGGATCTTTCAATGACTGTTGGGAACAGTTTCTTATCATGGGTTTCCCAGACTTACACAGTTTGCTTGGTCTGTCTTTCATCCAAATGATAGTTGCAAGCGCATAATGATAATTTTCAAAATAAAAACTCGCAAAGAACAACTTGCAATGTTTTAAGCACCAAACAACGTCGAGGAGAGTGAGGATTCTGTCCCTCGATGAGGAACAGGTTAAAACATCGATTAAAAAGAACCCCTGATGTCTTTGCCGAGCAGAAAGTATGCAAGAGGAATTTCAAAAAATCATAATCATTATTGACTTGCAATTTATTGTTTAAAATATTATTTGATGTTAGATGATGTAGTGAGAAAGAAAAAAGAGAGCCACAGGATAAAAGGAAAACAATTGGGCGCGACTGTAGGAGAAGAATTAATGGATAATGGAGGAACCACACAAAAATCTTGCACCAGGACTTCTCAGATTCTGACTACACCATTGAATCTAAGTTGGTTATGGTCCTAATTTACTCTTTTCCAAGCTAAATTTACCTACATTATCACATTCCATGCTTAATATATTCCTAACATACTCTATTCCAAGCTCCAATCGTACCGAGCTTATCACATTACAAGCTACCTCAATATCTAGTGTACTATATTCCAAGCACACTCCATTCCTAATGCACTGTATTCCAAGCTCATTCAATTTCCAAGCTGTCTTCATTCCTAATGTACTATATTCCAAACATGATCTATTTCTAATGTACTATATGCTAAGATCATTCTATTTCTAATGTACTATATTCCAAGCTCTCTTCATCCCTAATGTACTATATTCCAAGCTCACTCTGTCCTTAATGTACTATACTATAACCTTACTTCATTCCTAATGTACTATATTATAAGCTTACTCCATCCCTAATGTACTATATTCCAAGTTCACTCCCATTATGAATTCACTGCATGTTGTCTTCACCTCTAGACCTCTTGAAATTAGTCAATACTTTGAAATAAAGAATGCCCCTTTTGAATTAGTAATTACTTTGAAACAAAGACCGCTCTCTTTTGAAATTGTTTAATACTTTGATAAATTGTGGTATTCCTTATAATAAGTAAAGTACTCTTCACCAAATTATGAATAATATTCAAATAACACTTTCTATGTATTTATTACGAAAATTTATCATTTAGTAGTCCGATAACTATTTTAAATAGTATAAATCTAAAAACAGTTAGATTAATATGTATATAATTTGTATTTAGAGGACAATCTGACAACCTTCATCGACGAGAGTAATGTTGGAGTTCTTAATTATTGCCTCACCTTTAGTGCTGAGCCTCGTTTGGACCCAAGCTTAGCTCCAGCGCCCTCTGTGAATTAGAGAAAATTACAAAAATCAGATTTAACTCATGCTGAAATTGTTATAATTATCACATTATACAGTTCTACGTAAAAGGTTCTGTTGAAAACGACTCTACAAAAATGTCCATAAAAGATGTCGAACATGGGAAGTTGGATAAAACAAAACATTTACTGCATCAATACCAGCCTTTTGGAAAACTTATTTTTCCTATAAATTTAAAGAAATGTTTCATTGCAAGGGTTAACAAAAATCCTTAGTCTCACTTTAATATTAAAACCTCCTCCAAATAAAGTGACTTTGTAGGTGTCTCAGAGAAGTCACCTTTAATAGAGCAATCACTCACTAAAAAAATTAAGTAATAATATAAGTGGGCGAATGTTTGTTTTATAGCAAAGCCACATTGAGCTACCTGATGTGTCCACCGTGGGCAATCGAACCTGGATTTTAGCATTGTAAGTCCATGAACTTATCGCTGAGCTAATAATCTTCTGTGAGTTGTTAGATCTTACGTTTTCCTCAAGATGATATTAGAACAAAAAAAATTTAGATCTTCTTATCTTCCAAATCTAGTAGGATAACTTTAAAATCATATATATTTCCACCCCCAAACAAGATAGTCTTTCACTATTTACAACAAAGGTTCTCAACCTATGGGAAGGGTGGGGTTTTCTATGGGGCAGCAGCGTTCTGATAAAACTGTAAGATGTTTTTTAACAATTGAACGTAACTTCAATGGTGTTATAGTATTGTGAGATAGAGCAGTAACTACTACACTGGTGTTACAGTACTGTAAGGTAAAATAGTAGCCACTACGCTAGTATCGCAATATTGCAAAGTAAAGCAGTAACAACTACGCTGGTGTTATATTATTGTACTGTAAAGCCATAGCCACTACATCATTATCACTGTGTTATGACTTCAGAAGTAGCGTAGTTAAATTTCTAGCTTGGTAACAATTTAATTGATTGAATCATAAGTTCATAACTAATCTTCGCCGATTCATTTTTAGTACACTTGTTTACAATATATATTCTTAGGTATATTTCAAATACTTGTTATTAAATACTTTAGCTAGAAGACAGATTTGACTTAGTAAATACTTTATTAATTTCGGCAAATGTATATTTAAAACGAGTACTTAACCAGAAAGAAATATTACGTTAAATCGGGAAGAAAGATTAAATATGCATAATGTTCATAAAGTCTGAAATAAAACAATTAACCATCTTCACGATGATAAAAGTAATTCTTGTGTTACTTTATATTTGTCTCCAGGTGGCACACTGTTGAGTTAAGAAATTATGACGCTAAAATAACTGGGTTTGATACCATTATGTATCTTTATACTTAACAAAAAATAAACAAAAGAAACCTTTATACTTCAAATTACACAAAAAAAGGGTCGGTCATCAGTCAAAAACTGAATTCTCTTTGTTTCTGGCCGAATATTTTGGTCCTGTCATGTTGACCTACTGATTAGGTTAAATAACCACTGATGATCACTTACTTTTATGTAATAAAAGAAATTGATAAGCTAAGCCCAAACTGCTAATAAAAGTAATATTATTTGAAGCAGAGGATTAACAAAAGAAAAGCTTCCACAATCGTGTACGCTGTAGTTATCGATACGTACAATTTATGTTACGCATTACTTTTACACAACTGGCTCACAGGTAAGCCTATACCGAAGTTGTGTTTGTTTGTAATTAAGCACAAAGCTACACAATGGGCTATCTGTGCGCTGCTCACCACGGGTATCGAAACCCGAATTCTAGCGTTGTAAGTCCGCAGACATGCCGCTGTGCCACTGGGGGGCATAGTGAGTATGTGCAGAGTTGGGAATGTAACTTCAGAATTCATTAATTCATGGAAAAGTTTTTTTGTGGGGGGGGGCAAATAAGGAGATACTTTACTCTATAAGTTAATATTTCAATTATCTCTATGATAGGTTATACAACAAGGACAGGTGCAGTAGGTCAAAAAACTCGTGGTAGGATCCAAACTTGCTGAGAAAAAAAAAAGCAAAACAAAACGTGAAGTAAGCTTATTAGAGTTGCTGCCTCATACGTTAAATCGTGTATTGATTTTTAAAAAATGTCTATAGAGTATATTAATATCTGACAAAACACCATCAACAATTTACAGGGCTGACCTTACACTTTCCAAGTTTGACGTTACAATTTCCAGGTTTGACCTTACAGTTTCCAAGTTTCATTTGTAAGTTTTCATTATGGATTTTTACTTTAAAATTTAACCAGCAATGCTTTACTAGATGTCTTCCGAAACTTTTGTTTTTCTCCAAAAAACCCAGAAATTTGTTTTTGTGGTTAAAATTTATTAAGATAAGTGTCAGGGTGTGCCAATACTTACTTCCAACAGAATTGTCAATCGCCTTTTGAGCTTTCTGGATACCAAGTCTGAATCCTTCCATTTCAGGACGTATCTTATGTCCTCGATGGAAGAACACCAGTGCATGTTCAAAATTTCCCATTGAAAACAGAGCTTCTGCTTTCTGATAAAGCGCCTGAAGAAAATGAATGAATGAAATAACATTAAAGATCACAATAATATCACCATTAAGGAAACCCGTAGGGGACAATGATTTTTCATGTGTTTTATTTCAACCTCATTTTTTCATTAAATGTAGGATTTTGTTGTTGTAAATTTCTGATTTTAAATATTGATTTTTAAAATATGATTTTTATTTCTCAATTTTGTTCTATTTTTTTGGACTTCCCTTCATTTCCAACAGTAGAAGGTTTCTATGGTGGTGAAAGACACGTGCCTTTTCATGACGTATGACAATATGATGCGAGAGGCTGAACCAATGTTGTAAGAGTTAGAATTATGTTTATATACCTATACCAGATTAACCCGCTTAATCATCATTCGTTCCCCTTTATCTTTGTGTTATTTTATTTTCATCTTAAACAATCATTGAATTGTTAGTGAATTATTAGTGTGCTGTAATTGACAAAGTACGATCATCATTATATCCCATGAAGCAAAATGGCGGAAAAAGCAAGACGTGAGACAATACAAATAGGACTCTTATGAACAGATACGAAAAACAGGAGTAGGTTTAGCAGTTATCCTTGGTATGTCCGTAATAGCAGTGCATATTTATAAACACAGATGCAAAGAATGTTGGTAAAACAGCTAGAAACGCAAGCTAGTGTAGAGACAGATGGCAGTGAATAATCTCGAAATGCACATGAAGGTAAATAATATAGCAAATAGAGATAATAACAGAAAATGCTGGTAAAAGCAGGTAGCAATATGAGTTATTAAAGATAGGTGGCATCACAAATTAATACACATGAGAGCGAAATCTGAAGAAAATGAAACAAATACGAAATATCTGTGACAGCCAGAAACGCCAAATTTGGGAGGGAGTGACAGAAGGGAAAGTGCTCCACTCCCAAAAAGAGAAGAACCTGACAATAAAGAACCAGCTCCATGCTTTTACTGTATGTGATGTAAAGTTATAGTATAATCCGGTGCCAGGCTTCGTATTATTGCATTTCCGCTTTAGAAAAATGCAAGTGTTATCAATGTAATCATGGCCCTTGGACCTCCATAAGAGTTTCGCCCCCACCCTAAATAAAATCTCAAATGGCGTTGATGGTAGTAGCGGTGAACAACATATTTTACACCTATTACATCACAATATAACTACAAAATATAAATCCTGCAAATAAGTGAGAAAAATAAGATGGGGCGCTCTTACCATTCACAAGTATGTAACAAAAAATGTCACACCTATCTAACGGTTCATAAACTTTTGTTTACATTGAAGATAGCATATTGTTAAAGACTATTCACGTGATTAATGCAAAGAAGTGTTAGCGAAACTGTAACACGCTGCCACTTTTTAAGGGGAGGTGAGTAGTTCATGACAGTGTACACAAACAGGCGTATTTCAGTGGGGAACATGTCCCCTCATTTTTTAAGTGCAGGGAAATACCTTCTCATATTGCAGCAATATTAAAACTTTTATTTCTAAATAATTTACCCTCATGTTCCAAATACATAAACTTCCCTCTCCACACAGACTCCACTGACATAACATGAATAACAAAATAATATAAAATTTTGTCTCAACAAGATAAAATTACTTGAGAAAAAAAGTACTTACTCGAACGCAATCCTTGTCTTCAGCAAGAGCTGTTTCAGCATCTCGAAGAGCAGCCTCGTTGTTTCCTAGTTGTAAGAAGCACTTGGAGCGTGCTATTAAACAATCTTTGTTGGCAGGGTTAAGGTATAAGGCCTAAGGTAAGAAATAACTTTGACTTACTTTATCACTTAGTTGTAAGAAACACTTGGAGCGTGCTATTAAACAATCTTTGTTGGCAGGGTTAAGGTATAAGGCCTAAAGTAAGAAATAACTTTAACTTACTTTATCAATTTATGTATAGGTGCACGTGTTCCATAAATGTACTTTTATAAGATATTTTAGCGTCTAAAACAGAACACTGTTCTGAGATTTAGGTCGTTACCAAAAGATAGTGATATTTTTTGTTACGTTGTTTATTGGAAAGTAAGTTTTGAATGAACTGATGGATGTAACAGACTAAACAACTGCAGGAGATTGTGGTATTAAATGTAGAGAGTCGATGTTTGATTACGTACCTTCAAAATAAATAAAGAATCGTGTTTAATTACTTTGATCATTTTACGACAACATCCTCAGTAAAAGTAACTAATTTTACTGTTCGATATATCGCGTGCGCTTCATCAGGATATTATCGTTACAGCAGTATATTTGATTAACAGTTCTTGTGCAATAATTGAATAAGATAATAAATTGACGACTCCAACGTTTTAAATTGCACAATAATTCGTGTATAAAATTAGGTAAGGCAATTTAAAACTAAAAAAATTACATGTATCGATGAAACAGGATATAAATGAAAGAATATATAATTATATCAGTCAAAACCAATTTGAAGTTAATGGTTATAGTTAATGATATTATGAAAGATGCTGTTCGAACTTACTTTTGATACCAGAAAATCAAAAGTAACTTGTATAATTATGAGGTGAACTAACTGCGACTAATTAAATATTATATAAATATTGTAATTTATAAAGCAGATAAAGGAGGACAAACTGTTATATTAGATATAAGCAGTTACCGCGATAATAGGACAAACTGTTATATTAGATATAAGCAGTTACAACGATAATAGGACAAATTGTTATATTAGATATAAGCAGTTACCGCGATAATAGGACAAACTGTTATATTAGATATAAGCAGTTACAACGATAATAGGACAAATTGTTATATTAGATATAAGCAGTTACAACGATAATAGGACAAATTGTTATATTAGATATAAGCAGTTACAACGATAATAGGACAAATCGTTATATTAGACATAAGCAGTTAGAACGATAATATTAAAAATCTTTTAAATGATGGTCCATATATTGAAATCAAGAAAGACCCTACCAATGCAGTACAGAGTAAAGTAAAACAGTTATAAAACCTATAGTACCATAGCAACGAATGAACAATAAAACAATTCTAAAACCTATAGTACCATAGCAACGAATGAACAATAAAACAATTCTAAAACCTATAGTACCATAGCAACGGATGAACAATAAAACAATTATAAAACCTATAGTACCATAGCAACGAATGAACAATAAAACAATTATAAAACCTATAGTACCATAGCAACGAATGAATAAAGTAATCTTATACCGTCCCACTTTATTTTACCTCGTTTTTATATCCTTCTGAAGGTTAATAAAATTTGGATACCCTTCCGCCCAATTGTTCACAACAGAAGATCAATAACATAATTAGTTTCCAAGTTTATTATTAAAAAATGTTCTTTTTAAACAAATTCTCACACATTTACGGTTAATGATTTGACTGACTTTATTAATAAAATTTAAAATGTTAATATAAAAGAAAATTACTGATTAGTTTCATTTGATGTAGTATCGTTGTTCACAAATGTGCTTGAAGAAGAAATATAAGGTTGTTTTAAAAATAGGTTACTAGCCAGTAAATTTGTTTCACATCTAGAAGTATATGGTATTTAATAGAACTCTGTGTATAACTATTAGCTATTTTAAGGTGGGAAACATAACTTGCAAACACAATAAAGGTTTATCCGTGAAGTCACTTTTATCATCTCTGTTAGCAGAAATATTCATGTTGAAACTTGGGTGTTAGAAACATTGGTGAAAAGACCCGAAATGTGAATAAGATATGCTAATGACATGTTTCTGGTGTGGCGGCGTGGCAATGACACGTTAATTGATTTCCAGAATCATCTTAATTCTATCAGCCCTACAATACAGTTGAAGAAGAGGATTGTTTGAATTTTCTGGATGTTTCTTTTAAAAAGAGAGGATGGCTATCTGTCTACTTCGGTATAAGGGAAGCCATTCTCAGTTGTCATGCCGACACGTGCAAGATCGTCTCATCCATTGTCACAACATGTTCTAATTTTTGTGTTTTGTTGATAGGGCCGTTAATGTCTGTTCATGCAATGAAGATTGAATGTTAGAATTGGATTATTTAAAATATATAATGATTGCTAGTGGTTATGAACCTGGTATTATAAATAGGATCAATAAAATACATTGTAATAAATTACAAATTTTTTGGATCTACCAAATTACAGACAATAATAAATAAGGGAAAATGAAAGAACATGTTTGCCGTATGATCCGTCATTGCCAACAAAAATAGGTAATGTGTCTATGAAAAATATGGGTTGTGTGATAACCTTTAATACTCAATTAATATTGTTGGATATACAAGACTGTTTAGTGTAAGAGTTATTTAGTTTATTTAGTGATCTAATTTTAATGATTATTTAGTTTTCATGACAAGAGTGTTAAAAGTAATAATTCTAAAGGTGATAGTTATGACAAATTTTGTCACGTAACTCGGTAAGAGTCGTACGGTGTGTGTGTAGTTTAAGTGTTGTAATTTGACATCACATTAATCGAACCTTCTGTATTGTTCTTTATGCCTTAAGTAAGTATTGTTGTATCATAGCGTCTCGTAATTTGTAGAAAGTTCTAGGCCTCAATCGGGCAATGTATATATACACACACACACACATTGTGTGTGTGTATATATGTATATACACTGCATGATTGTTAGTTTAGTCGTAACGGGCGATATTTTAAAGTCTAACAGAGATAAGAAGAAAAATTTGTCTTGTCAAAGGGTGTTCTAAAATAATTGAACCCGCCTGTGTGGACCTCGACGAACATGAGACAATTATTTAAAGCTCTGGATACCACTGTGGTAACTCACAGGTAACGTAAGGGAATTTATTACTGATTTTGTTGTGATAAAAGAGTAGAGAAGAAATAATTCGTCTTGTCAATTGGGGTTTCAAGTACCTGAACCAGCCTATGTGGACTTTTGACGTAAAAGAGAATTATTTAAACTCTGTATACAACTTACATGGGGTAACGTAAGTAAACTTATCACTAATTTTATTTTGATAACAGAAGAAAAAGAATTATTTAGAGTTCTGGATAAAACTGTGATATCCTATAGTGTAAAGAATTTATGTACATACGTTTGACTTGTTTTTAGTATATTATTTTAAAAGAAGTGGATTGTGTGCTGTCCGTTTATTCTTTGAATTTATCGCCAACGAGTCACAGACACCTACTGTAAAAGAATCCTTGCCCACATATGTAAATCCTGACATATATAAGTAATGACGTGAAAGATAAAATTGAAGTAAAAGGTACATGTGGAATATATAAAATTTCTTGTAGTTGTGGTTTAGGTTATATTGAGCAGACAAGTACAAGTATGAAATTTAGAATTAAAGAACATAAAAATGCCGTTGATAAATTAAAATGTAGTGATTCGGCCTTGGCGGAACATGTGGCGAACTCTTAACATCGTATTGATTGGGACAATGTATAAATACTTAAAGAAGTTAACTTAGAAAATAAATGAAATATAAGAGAATCACTAGAAATTGTTAAAAACAAAACTTGTTTTGAATAGAGACTTAGATTCTGGTGCCAAGGAAGTACATTTCTGGATATTAATTCTGTAAATGGCCCCACTGTACAAAATGCAAACTGTACATGTACATGAGTTTATAAATGAATTTTTTGTGTCAGCATTGTTTCCTGAAGATGGTCGAGCATGTTTCACTGGGACATGTTGAGGGTCTTTTAGCTTTTTATTATTGCTTTTAACTTTATACAGTAAATAACTGTGCATTTTAAAATGTTGGAGTTGTCAACTTGTTGTTCATCGGCAATGAATATGGCGGACACAGGACGGTTGAAATATTATTCGTGGAAGAAAAATCTAAGAGATCAAATAAGGAATGTAGTATTTTGTCTTATCAAATACATAATTAATTATAATTACGCTTCACCAGATAACCTCCCCAAATAAAATATTCAAAACATAATTTGTATTATAAGAAAAATAATATTTCAATACAAAGTCATACCACCTAAAAACATATTCAAACTTTGCAGAAATATAAAAAATACTTATAAAACAGTGAATATAAACTGTTTTTAGTCTATCAGACAGTGAAACGTTTTGAAAAATTAATATATGGGTAATTAGGGTTATTTTTTAATATAACTTGGACTGGTGAAAGCCGGTAAGTATGAAAACTCATTTCCTTCATTATCTATTCTCACGAAGTGTTAACCCTAAAAATAGCCTCTACGCTGGTTTACTCGTGCATAAAACCTGTATATAGATCAGAAAAAAGTCCTTCGAGCTGTAGTGCACAAAATATCGGAACAACTTCGTGTAATTTTAAAGAAAAAATGCTTTTCTGTATGTTATCATGATAATAATATAGTTGTTGATGTACCTGCACGCAAACTGGGCGGAACTTTTCTGTCCCAGCATGTATGCATGCTTTTGATATGCATGACTGAAGTTGGAATTGATCAGAGGCTGGCGGACTAATGAAGTTGGCTAGGGTTAGCATATTGAAATCAATATACAATGTTAATATCACGCACAAAGTTGCTAACTATATACGTAATATTTTCTTATCTCAAGTACTTTGTTTTAGTAACAATAATGCCACAACCACGAAAATAATGTAACACTTATACAAAAAATGATAATTTGCACCAGAACTAATTTTGCTTCTTACCCATATCAAAATTTTACTTAAACAAAAAGTCAGGCATATATTACGTGAAATAAAAGGGCAAAATTTGGGTTCTGATAATCATTCTAGGTGTGCATTCTGGTTCTTCAGATAAAGCATTATTCCGGTGAACAAAGAAGTTGGTTCATCATAAGGAAACAATTGTATCTTACAAAGGTGAATCATTACATTTATACACTTGGATATATGCGTGTTGTTTAAAACCAAAACTACTCGTATAACAATCAAACAGGGGATAACAATTATTTGTTTGTTGTTAAGCGCAATCCTACACAATGAATTATCTGTACTATGCTCATTGTGAGTGTTGAAATTGGATTTTTAGCGTTATAAACCCTCAGACTTGCCTCAAAGTGGTTCAGTGGTAAGTCTGAAATTTATAATGCTAAAACCAGACTTGGATACCTGAGGTGGGCACAGCACAGATAGCCCATTGTGTAGCCTTTCGCTTAACAATAAAACAAACAATTTTGTTTTTCTCATTTTAGATTTTAAGCCACGAATCCGGTATTGTGGACAGAAAAAAAATGTCAGCTTGAGGGAAAAGAGATTCAGTTTTGATCATCCTCTACTATGTCCCAATCTTTCCTGAATAAAACGTCTGATGTTCAATGCGCCTCCGATGAAACGTTGTTCTCATCACCCTGTATCTTATGTATATATTTATGTATTTTTTCTTCACTGCTCTGACGAACCTAATCATCTTGAAGAAGTATAACAATTTTAAATGTAACGTGTTTGAACATAAAACGTTTTTTTTTTGTTTTTTTTAAGGAGGAATGTTCTTAATGTGATTTTATTAGCGCAAAGCTACTTCTGGGCTAATTGCGCTCTGTACATTATGGAGAGTCTAGCCACGTACTTAAGCGTTGTAAGTTCGTAAACTTACTGCTGACAATCCGAGGGACGTTCTTAATGCACGCATCAGGACCTTTACTGAAATCTACAGAAGAAAAACTAACATCTAACAATTGAAAATCCTGATGAAATCATCACACGCGGAGTTTCGAAATAACCATAGTTCTAAACAGAGTAAATTAAAAGAAAACATGTTAGAAAACTAATCTTCCCTACAAGTGAACTATAGTAAACTATAGTTCACTTGTAGGGAAGATTAGTTTTCTAACAAGGTAAAGTATTGTATGATGGAACCATCATACAATACTTTACATTGTTAGAAAACTAATCTTCCCTACAAGTGAACTATAGTAACCATCATACAATACTTTACCTTGTTAGAAAACTAATCTTCCATACAAGTGAACTATAGTAACCATCATACAATATTTTACCTTGTTAGAAAACTAATCTTCCCTACAAGTGAACTATAGTAACCATCATATAAAGCGTTACCAATACTTTACCTTGCTAAAAAACTGAATGGCGGTTTTTATTCTTCCCTGTCGAATCTCGTGCTCTCCTTGACTGTAATAAATTACTGATTTTTTTTCTCCGGGTTTCATTTTCCGAATTTCACGTTCTCGCTTGTCTTGCAAGCTAACTTTAATGTCCTTGGTTCCAAACACGACGCTAGCCGCACGGTCTTTGTCAGTATAACATTCGTCTTTACTTGGAAATTTGTTCTTGAAATCTGATGCGGAGGTGCTGCCCTCCAGGGGCACTCCTTCATCTTCCTCGAAACTCAAACTGCCATCATTATGCTGAGAGGTGAATGAAGGAGACTTTTTGAAAGTTATTTGCTGCTTAGTGATTGGCGAGCGAGGAGAACGTGACCCTGACGAGACAGACTCTCTTCGTTTTTCGTCATTGCTCAGCTCTGTACAAAGAGAAGGAAAGTTAGTCTTAACGTAGGTTGGGCGTTCGGCTTGACGTTCCTTCGAGCTCTGTCGATTTTTATTTGAGTGGTCGACATTCAGTGCCGGAACTCGCTTGTTGGCTGGTGGCTCAAGGTAAGATTCAGATTCAAGAAAACTGTGACATTTCACAAGTTTCGGTTTCACATCGTTTCTCGGATCTGGATCAGCAGTGATGGATGGACTGCATTCTGTGGACTTCTGAGGTGACTCTGGCAACATGTTGTTCGGCAAACCAAAGGAAGCCCTTTAATTTTTGTTTCTCCAGAGCCGTTAAAAGCTAGACTCGCATTTCTTGCTGAAATAACTTTTGTCCATCACAACACTTGGCACAGAGAGCACATCCAGCAATTTACATAAAATACACAATACCGACTACTGGTCAGACGTAATGTTGTATCTATTTTAGTTTCCTTACCAGTTAAGATAAGTATTTTAACCATAAACCACTTAAAATAAAACGGACATTTTGTTTCAAGTCACGACTTGCTCTGAAAGTCACGAAGCTAGAAATATATACATTATAGTATAAAATTGTGTTCTGTTTCGATCATGTGGCAACTGGTCAATATTGTTGCTAGGATATAGCACTATACACGCTTCAACGGAGATAATAAATCAGGTTACCCATGTAAGAACAATAGAACACATGTTCACACACTTCACTATTGATTTTTCTTTGCTTCTAGTACGTTGCTACAGCAACACTCACTACGTCTTCACTATGGAATACTCTAAGCGATAATATCGACAGTTTACATTATCCAATAACATTTGGATTGTTTAAATTGGCTTTTAAACAACGCGTGCATCACTGATCATGCTGGAGATGTCATCACCATACAAATACCTGACTAAAGATTATACAAATGTTCACTACTTTGTTAAAGTGAGGTATTATACACATGCTTACTACTTTGTTAACGTGAGGTATTATACACATGTTTACTACTTTGTTAACGTGAGGTATTATACACATGTATACTACTTTGTTAAAGTGAGGTATTATACCAATGTTCACTACTTTATTAAAGTGAGGTATTATACACATGTTTACTACTTTGTTAACGTTAGGTATTATACACATGTTTACTACTTTATTAAAGTGAGGTATTATATCAATGTTCAATACTTGGTTAACGTGAGGTATTATACCAATGTTCACTACTTTATTAAAGTGAGGTATTATACACATGTTTACTACTTTGTTAACGTTAGGTATTATACCAATGTTTACTACTTTGTTAACGTTAGGTATTATACCAATGTTCACTACTTTGTTAACGTGAGGTATTATACCAATGTTTAATACTTTGTTAACGTGAGGTATTATACCAATGTTTAATACTTTGTTAAAGTGAGGTGTAATACACATGTTTACTACTTTGTTAAAGTGAGGTATTATACCAATGTTTAATACTTTGTTAAAGTGAGGTATTATACCAATGTTTAATACTTTGTTAACGTGAGGTATTATACAAATGTTTACTACTTTGTTAACGTGAGGTATTATACCAATGTTTAATACTTTGTTAACGTGAGGTATTATACCAATGTTTAATACTTTGTTAAAGTGAGGTGTAATACACATGTTTACTACTTTGTTAAAGTGAGGTATTATACCAATGTTTAATACTTGGTTAACGTGAGGTATTATACCAATGTTTACTACTTTGTTAACGTTAGGTATTATATACATGTTTACTACTTTGTTAAAGTGAGGTATTATACCAATGTTTAATACTTTGTTAAAGTGAGGTATTATATCAATGTTCAACACTTGGTTAACGTAAGGTATTATACCAATGTTCACTACTTGGTTAACGTGAGGTATTACACCAATGTTCACAACTTAGCTAATGTGAGGTTTGTACCAATGTTCACAACTTAGCTAAAGTGAGGTTTATACCACTGTTCACTACTTGGTTAACGTGAGGTATTATACAAATGTTCACAACTTCGCTAATGTGAGGTATTATACAAATGTTTACAACTTGGTTAACGTGAGGTATTATACAAATGTTCAACACTCGGTTAACGTGAGGTATTATATCAATGTTCACTACTTGGTTAACGTGAGGTATTATACAAATTTTTACTACTTGGTTAACGTGAGGTATTATACAAATGTTCAACACTCGGTTAACATGAGGTATTATACCAATGTTCACTACTTGGCTTATGTGAGGTATTATACCAATGTTCAACACTTGGTTAACGTAAGGTATTATACAAAGGTTCACTACTTGGTTAATGTGATGTATTATACCAATGTTTGCTACTTGATTAACGTGAGGTATTATACAAATGTTTACTACTTGGTTAACATGAGGCATTATACAAATGTCAACACTTGGTTAACGTAAGGTTTTATACAAATGTTTATTACTTGGTTAACGTGAGGTATTATACAAATGTTCACTACTTGGTTAACGTGAGGTATTGTACAAATGTTCACTACTTGGTTAACGTGAGGTATTATACAAATGTTCACTGTTTGGTTAACGTGAGGTATTGTACAAATGTTCACTGTTTGTTTAATGTGAGGTATTATACCAATGTTCAATACTTGGTTAACGTGAGGTATTATACCAATGTTCAATACTTGGTTAACGTGAGGTATTATACAAATATTTACTACTTGGTTAACGTGAGGTATTATACAAATGTTCACTGTTTGGTTAACGTGAAGTATTATACAAATGTTTACTACTTGCTTAACGTGAGGTATTATACAAATGTTTACTACTTGCTTAACGTGAGGTATTATACAAATGTTCACTGTTTGGTTAACGTGAGGTATTATACAAATGTTTACTACTTGCTTAACGTGAGGTATTATACAAATGTTTATTACTTGGCCAACATGAGGGTGTTGGATATACAAGACTGTTTAGTTTAAGAGTTATTACTTAGTGATTTAATATTTAATGATTATTTAGTTTTTATAACTAGAGTGTTAAAAGTTAATTATTTAAAAGCGATAATTATGACAAGTTACGTTACATTTACATAGCTCTGTACGAGTCGTACGTTGTGTATGTAGTTTAATTGTTGCACTAGGCTTTTGTAATATTGTTGAAATCATATTACTCAAAGCTTCTAAGTCTTTCTTGTTATGTTTAATATTGTTGTTACTAGAGGGCTAGATATTTCTAGATTTTTCTATCGCGGGTTTTAAATGTGTGCAAGCACGAAGTTAAGTTAGGCTGCTTGATTGTCAGTTTAGCCCTAACGGGCGACTTTTAAGGTGAAAGTATCACAGCTTGTATTGTAATAACAGAGATAAAAAAAGAAGGATTTGTCTTGTCCAATGGTGTTCTATAGTAATTGAACCAGCCTGTGTAGATTTTGACGAAAAAAGCTCCGGATACAACTGTGATAATTTATAGTGTAAATACGTTTGACTTGTTTTCAGTATATTATTTTAAAATAAGTGGATTGCGTGCTGTCCGTTTATTGTTTAAATTTTTCGCCAACAAGTCACAGACACCTACTGTAAATGATTCGACCCTATAAATACCTGTGGTAGACAGAAGTGCTAATATACTCAAGTGTATTTTGATAACTAACCTTTGGGTTTTTATTTAAAACTAAAAGTATCGATAAAACACCTAGCCACTTTTGAAATTATTTATAAAACTATTTATGCACCCAGTTGTTTGTAGGTTCTAACTTTTTTGTAACTGGACTCCTGAGTAACAAAATGTAACCAAACACTTAGTCAGCAGAACAGTTAGTAATTGCTGTGGGGTTCCTGTATATGTAATATTTCACACATTTGAAATAGTTCAACATTTTTGAGTTTTTGTTTCGTTATTTGGCCAATTCAGTACAGTTTGGAGGACGCTTATTATTACCCTTTGTTTCAGCTCAGGTTATTAAAGTTATGCTAAAAACACATCCAACAGACATTAATATTTCCAGTTTACAATGGGTATTGTTGCTGAATTTTAATTCATGTTCGATAGAAGCTTCCATTTTTAAGTATGCATCTAAATTCGTAAGCATAGGCAAATTAAAACAATTCTTTGTGAAACAACTTTTTAATAGATAAACTAACTTAAAATAGTCCAACTTTATCAAAAAACAACTTGGAAAATGTGAATTAGAGAATCGGAAATTTATCAAAAAACAAAGCTAATTTAAACAGCTTAATAAAAGGTATTGCAATAAATTAGTGTTCACTTTCCCATGTGACAGCCGGATGGGGAAGAGGGCTTGCTGAGATTGAAGATACCACAAAATGGGCTTTAACCTTCCCTTTAGTTCAAACAACAAACAAAGTGCTTCCTGTAAAGCTGTTTCACTTCTTAAATACAACTGTTTTTGATAACATCAGTACCTTCACCAGGAAGAGGCGCCGTTTTGGTGACAGTTAATAGAATGAATATAAAATTATATTCATAAGTAAGTTGAAAAATAATGTTACCACAGCGGAAGTCACGCGACCCTGGGAGCATGCGCGCTGGAGTTTCTCGAATGATCATGAAATTGCCCGGCAGTCCTAGTGTGTTCGAAACGCCC